CCTGGGAAGAGAACACATATATTTCCTTCATCTATAATACATCCTCCAATTCTGAAGGGGCCAGGATTGCCCACGCTACTCCCACCAAAATTTAGTATCAGCCAACCACTTGATGGAGGTGACCAATCCACTAATGTTATCTGCCTTTTAGAAGAGGGAGCAACATTTGCTACCTAAGATCTAAAGAAATCATCAACTTGAAAGTCTAAAAACAGATCTAATGTTTTAACCCAATGAACCACCCTTATGGTTATGATCTCAATCAATGCTTCCTTATTCCTATCCTTATCTACAAATATTCTTAAATTTCTTTCCTCTCAAACTATCCAAACCACTACTGTCCTTGTATACTACATTAATCCGCCTGTTATATTTGTAAGATTGCAATTAGAAGGGCTAAACAATCCTTTCAAGATCGTACGAGGGAGCCATCTGCAACCAAAAAGTGTAGCGGATAAATCCCAAATAAAGCCAACAAAAGGGTAGGAGATTAAGAGATAAAGTGCAGCACCAATATAGGTACAAACATTAGTTTGGTCTCTTCCTTTGGAGGTTAACATATGTGTTAATGCAGTTGTGATATACTTCCCAACAGAAAGCACTAACTCTAGGAGGAATGGGGGAACACCAGATTTCATTAACAGGGAGAAAGGGAAGAAGAGGAGGCTACAAGTGAAGAGCCCAACATGATTTAGAGTCCACACCCAATTATCCACATCCCATCCCTATGAACCACAAAATTCAGTAATGTAAGCAAAGTGGACCCATTAGGAATTTCAAATTCTCTAAGGTTTCTAGTAAATCCCTAGTTCCAGTTCTGCTTAAGAGGAGAGAGAGGCGAATTAATAAATTTTGACACCGGTCTACCTTTGAGATTGGAAAGAGTGTAAAGAGAGGGAAAAGTCTCCTCCAAAGGGGATTCCTCGAGCCAAATATCTTCCCAAAACCTAATCGTCTGACCTAAGACCAAATCATACATGATATGGTTGAAGATGTTTGGATGAGAGTCATGGATAGATTTTCACGGAGTAGCCATGGTAGCTCTATGAAGACAACCAACATCCCAATCACTGTTTCACAGCCCATGCACACTTGCCACCACTTTATGTGAAAATCTTTGATCCTCTTTCAGAAATCTCCATAGCCATTTACTTAACAATGCCTAGTTTTTCAATCTCAAGCTTCCAATTCCTAACCCCCTTTTGCTTTTAACTTCATTACCTTTTCCCAATTAAGCAAGTGATCTTTCTTTCCTTCCCCAGGTTCCAACAAGAAGTCCCTCATAATCTTTTCAATTTTTTTGCACCACAACTTAGGGCATCCTGAAAATTGACATTTAATAAATAGGAAGGTCAGCTAAGGTGAATTTAATCAAAGTTATTCTCCCACCTAAAGGGATATAGTTGTGTTTCAACCAGTTAATCACTTATCAAACCTTTTCACCACTGGTTCCAAAAGTTGAGTAACTTGGGGTTGTCACCTAGAGGTAATCCTAATTATTTGATTGGCCACTCCCATCTCTCTCACCCCAAGGAATCAACCATATATCCCAAAATATCTTCTTGAATATTAATGCCTATCAATAAACTCTTATTCTAATTAATCTTTAGGTTGGATACCCTCTCAAAGAGATTTACTAGAAACTTCAAATTTTCCACCCCATCTCTATATTCCCCATCATAGAAAACTAGGATATCATCAGCAAATTGCCAGTGTGTAACCAGAATTCTATCCCTCTCAACTGATAATGGGTGATAATGGGTCACCTTTTCGCTCTATAGATTAATTTGCTCAAAACCTCATCTACCAATGCAAAAAGGAAAGGTGATAATGGGGAACCTTTCCTAAGATCTCTAGTACCTTCAAAAAAGTAGACCACTAAACAATTAACAAGTATTGAATAATGACTTGATTGCAAGCATCTTCTAACCCATTTACACCACAACTCCCCAAAACTGCAAATTCTGAGAATATTAATTAAAAATTCACAATCCACAAGATCGTAGGATTTCTCCAAGTCCAACTTAACCACAATTCCCTTCTTTCCTAATCTCTTTTAGGCCTCAACACACTCATTAGCAATTAAAATCTGATCCACAATTTGCTTATCTTGAATAAAGTTCCCTTGAAACTGAAAGATCAGAGATAGGAGGAACTTTTTCACCATAATGGATAGGATCATTGCAATGATCTTGTGTATGGTAGTTACTAGGCTAATAGGTCAGAAATACCTTGAATGAATAGCACCCACTTTCTTAGGGATCAATGGTATGAAAGTGGAGTTCATCCATAAGCTAATTTTACCCTTGCTATTGGATTCATAGAATACTCTAACAAAATCACCTTTGAATCCAAAAGCTAATTTTAGGTCTATCTGTCAAGAAAATTGCTTCCTTAATTTCCCCTCAAATCATTCTTTCTAGGAGCTCCACTTGGTCTTCTCCCAACACCTCCTACTCTAGACCTTCAATTGACCATCTCTCACTAAGTAGTTTGAAAGATTTCTCTAAAATGGTGCAAAAGTCTTGGCTATCTTATTTTGATCTGTGATCTTAGAGTCCCCCACACATAATGAAGTAATTAGGCTCTTCCTTCTCTGCCATTCATAATGCTATGAAAATATCTTGTATTCCCATCTCCTTCCTTGATCCATCTCTCTCCAGATTTTTGTTTCTAACATATTTCCTCTTTTAATGGGATATCCTCTAACTCCTTCTTCAAAGACCACCTCAAGTCTTTGTCATTATCAGATATGGGACCATCCACCTCTTTCTTTTAAATTTTCTCAATTTGAGAGATCAATCTTGCTTTCTTTTCTTTTAATCTCCCAAATTTCATTTTGTTCCACTTTTTTATTTTATCGTTAAGCACTTGTAACTTCTTTGGGAAATTTTGGCCTTCCCATCTTGGAAGTTGGATATGATAAGTTCATCACTCATTTACCCTATCATTAAACTCTGGATAGGTAAGCCACATGCTTTCATATCTTGGAGGAATCGGGCCCCCATTAGATCTCCTCCGAAATAAGCATATGGACCAATGGTGAGAAGCAATTCTAGGCAATGTTCTTCCTGGCAAATCTGTTCAAGGCTCTTGCCAATCTAATGACACTAAAAATTTGTCAAGTTGAAGATTGGACCATGTATATCTTGATTTCCCCAGAGAAATCTTTCTATTCAAAGGCCTTTATGAACTTATTAAATTTTCCCATGCTTGCGGTGGCCCTTCTTCAGATTCTTTCACAAACCTGATTATGTTAAAATCTCCCCCTAGACATCACAATCCATCCTGTAGTCCTCTAATATTTGCTAACTCATCTCAAAATAGAGTTCTTTCTTTATAAGAGTTTGGCCCATATACATTTGTGAGAACCCATACAAACCCATCTTGTGTGTTCCTTGATTTTATACACACTAAGTATTTACCCACCAATTCTTTGATGCACTACACGATTTCATCCCTCCAGATTGTTAAGATGCCCTCTAAAGCTCCCCATGAGCACGTAATATTCCTTTCTCCCCAAAAAACCTTTGAACCATATGCTATCCACATCCTAGATTTTGGATACCTAAATCATCACTAAATTATGATTTTCTTTTCTTAACATTTCCTGGATTACTCTTCTCTTTGTGGCACTCTCTAAACCCCTCACATTCCAACTAATAATCTGCATGGTCTCAATTGATGTTTATCCCCAACCCCTGACTACCTACATGCCTCCCTTTCTTCTCTCACCCCCCTTGCATTGAATTGCTTATCCTCTACATCATTAATAAAACTTCATTCATCTTCCCCCTTCTCTTACCCCCTTCCCCTTTCATACCTTAGGTTTAGGTTTTGGCTCCTTGGCATTATCTACCCTCAATCTCATTTTCACTATGTTTCTTTCCCTCCATTTCATTTCTTAATAGTAGAAACAAAAGAGAGAGGAACAAGGATACATAACAAAAGACATATATAGGAAGTATTTACAGAGAGGATTTTCCTTTGCCTACATGTATTAGTGAGATTTTTATCATTTTCTATCTTCCCTTGAGAAATTCTCTTTTATTCTCTCTTTATCCTGCCTTTTTTTTTTTAAGAAACACTTAGAGTGGAATGCTCTAAGACACAATTTTCTCTGAAGAGGAGCCTCTAGTTTCCCCTTAATGAGCTTAAATAGGGAGTGTGATAGTTATGCGAACTACCCCCCCCCCCCCCAGGTGAACACTAACCAACCTGCTTATTTGGGTTATAATTATTTATATATTATTTGGATTAAAAAAATCTATCAACAATAATATATCAAATATTATCATATATAAGTACTAATATATTTAGAAAGTAATGAATAAATGTTAATATGTTCTACCACTCTGTAAACTATATTATCAGTACAATAATCATTTCTGTCAAAATTATTGCTCATTTCAAAAAATTCTTTTAATTTTCTACTACCCTCTTCATTGTGTTTCTTTTCTTCTCCAAAAAATATGTGAAATTCATGTATGTTGGATATGTCATATGGAAATTCACAAATACTACTTGCTACATTAAGGAAAATATTGTACCATATTATAAGATGTAGTTATTTTAAAATGATATATATTTTAGTGACCGGAAAAGAATATAATAAGGTTGAAAGCCTGATGAGCATTAACTATCATAGTACCAAAAATTATTTAATAATAGTTGTTAACTAAATAAAAAAAAAATTTGTATTACATTTTAGTTGTTGCGTAGTTTGGAAGAGTGCAAATATAAATATATACAGTACGAATACAAGGTTTAGAAATACCGTATACATGGTTTTCCACTAGACATATTGGTAATTCACTTTTCCCAAATTGAGCCTAAAAGAAATTCTATGATAATTAAAAATAAAATAATATAACAGACCTTAGTTAAGGTAGAAAGGAGAAAGATAATTTATGAACAAGAAAAAGTATTTAATTTTCAAATGAATAAGTTCACAAAAAGAGAGGGATATGTTATGTGTAATTTAAAAGTTATGGGATAACCTCTCCTCTTTCTGTTCCATCATTGCCCTCCAAATCCGCAACAAGTGCATAAGGCTCAGTATTTGTACATTTTGCCAACCAAATGCCTTTAGTAGTTTGATTCCTAGAAAATAGATGTAAATTTTATTTAAATAACATTCATTTTTATGCTGAAAATAAAATATAATATAAGATCTCACCTTCCAATTTCAGCCTTCATTTCTTTAAAGTTGGTCCCAAATAAGTGATTCAAAAGTGTGCTCTTTCCTAAACAAAATCATGGTTTAAAAAAACTTAAAAATCATGCTTTTTTGAAAAGGAAAATGTATGAATATTCATAAAGAAAGCTATTGACACATAGAGAGGTAATAATTTATTAAAGCATGTACAATAGTAACATAGAAACATGTTTTTGGCTTTGGTGCCAATCCAATTCATCACAAGCCCTTTATGTCTTTAGCATAGTTTAAAGTAAAAATCCTACTAATTTTCTTTTCATTTTTTGATCAAAAAGGAAAATTAACTTTATTAATAAGAGAGAAATCAAAAAACAGGATTACAATATATCACAAGATATCAATCAAGCCCAAAAAAAGAGACTACAATCACTACGAGAAAATTATCTAAACCGGCGGTCTTAAGGACCACCACTATACAGATAGATGAGCTGGCATTCCTCCAAAGACCGCTGCCTAGAAAACTAAAATAAAGAAAATAAAAATCTGACAAAGAAGTTGGCCTCTTGCATTTGAGAGAGGGAGGGAGAGAGAAAGCAAAATGCCAAAAACACTCCCGCCTCTTTCTACTTCGTGCATTCCATTGAGAAAAACTCTGACAAAGAAGAAAAAGGTAAGGCTTCTTCTTCTTCTTTAGGGCATCAATCAATGAAATTGAAAATTGTTTTCTTTAGGGCTTGATCGAAGGTACCATTCATGAAATCTCTGAACCATTTATTGCCTCTAAAGGGTTCAACCCTCTCCCTCAAGCTAGGATGTCCACAAGGAACTGGTCGATTGAGAAACCCAACTGAATGATCTGTTCATCTATGTGGTCTAGGATCTAGCCTCCCTTATCTAGTGCCTGAACTACCTTGAATCATTGAAAGATTTGAGCATCTGCCCTATGACCACATAAGAGTCTCCCTCAACCTTGATTCTTTTTGCCAGTAACCCTTAGGTTTTCTATTTTGAGGAAACCAATTTTTTTGGCTTTAATCTTTGCTTCTAAGCATTGAAGGTTATTCTATTTTTCCCTATTTACCTCACTTGCATAAAAAATGCATGAGTGAATCAATCGATTGATCGGACAAATTATACTACAGCAAAATCTGGTGTTGAACTTATGTAGAAATTGCAAAACATGTTATGCTTGGTTGCCCAAATCTCAAATTTTCAGGCCTAATGATAATAAGAATGCCGGACTACACATCAACACTGAAAACTTTAGGGTAATAATTTTGGAATATGCATTTTACTCATTTTTAATGCTTTATTGTTATTTTAATTTTGTTTGTCTAATTGCTTGTTTATGTCGCGGTGAGACAGACATTATCAAACTACAGGATTGTGGTATGCAAAGTACTTGGAATAGCAGAGGAGCAATGTGAGTTGTCAATGGGGATGTCTGGTGACTTCGAGCAAGTAATAAGGAATATAACTTTTAATTTTGAAACTTAAATACCAACCAGTGGCTATAACTTCTGATTTTCAGCCACTTTGTCAAACTTAAAGGAAGATATTAATTAAAACATGAAATTGAAAGTGATACTATCCTTACAGATTAGTTGCAATAGGTCTTGCCTTTTCAATTTTACCATAATGTGATATTTGCTTACAAAGAGAAAGCATCAAAAGTATGAAATCCGATATGTATAAAAAGGGTATATGGATAAATTATTATCTAGTCTCTGTCAGTCTCTCTCTACCATTTAATTTCCCATGGACTACATGCTTGTATCGTGAACATTATCCTTGATATTAGTAAAGCTTATCCTATTTGATTAGGGGGAAAAGGATCATTAGTATAACCATACTTTACTAGCTTCCTAAGGAATTTGATTGCTTCAATGAAAGCACATTTGTCAATTGTACTTGAAGAAACAACGATAAGATTAACTTTTGTCAAGAACTTGTAAAAATAGAACTATTTGAACAAGAGCTCTCAACCATTAAATATGTTTGAGATTGGGGCTTGGTGTTAGCTGGTCTCCACTGATGGTATATGGAAGGTGGGTCTAGGTGCTATTAGAATTGAAAATTGTTGAGTCTTCTAGTTTGTATCATGGACATGTGGTTTGGTTCAACGCTGATGCCATTTTAACTATATGGTTGTCTCAATGAGTATCAATCAGGGGCTAAGGATTAGAACTTTTTACAACTTTTGCAAATTGAAATGGGAAGTACCAATTCGAGAATATGATCAACCATATTTGGACCATGGGAGTATCCAAAGAAATAGGCAAACTAATCATGTTAGAAGTCTGATGATCATCCCCAAAGAGTGATTTTGTACCTATTTAGAATTCTAAGCATGGTGATTTTGCACCTAATTTATTTTAGACAAACTGGTGGAAAATGATTTAAACACAAGGTCCCTTTCATGTAGTTAACAATGGGTATGATATTAAACAAATTGGAATGGCAAAGTGGGATCCATGAAGCTGACTCATATAGTTGGGACAAGGCTTAGATGATAATAATAAACTAATGGAAAATATTTCTAAAATGAACATTGTACATTTGTAGATCTAATGTAGGATCTATTGGAGATTAATTGGACCACCTCTAACCATCAAATTGATGGACGATTTTCCAAAGAATTTCATCCTAGTTTTTTAACCATTTAGAAAATATTCAATAACATTATTATTTAACCTAACTGACTTTTTTTTGTGTAAAATTGCCTAATATATAATCTAAACAACTAAGTGTTTAACATTAGTAAAAACCTAAGATCGCCACCCATTCACCTTACACATAAGGCAAGAAAAAGACTTAAAAAGATTTTATAAACATATGAACATAGAAAGGTTACAACATTGTGATCTGTTTTGTGTTCTACATCTATCTATATCTATTTTATGTTCTACATTTATTTTTCTAATTTTATTTTCTTTATTTTTTTCTAGGGGAAACAGGATACTTTCTTTTATTGATAAACAACAAAGTGTTTGAATAGGGATAAGTTTACAATTTTAGCCATTCTATATTCTTCTATACTCGTTTATATTTACTCTAGAAATACAAACCATTCAACTTTTCACTGTTAATTTTATCAATCTATTAATTAGACAGTTTTCATTTTTACCCCAAAATTCACAAGTGAAATATATTTTTTAAAAGTAGGATATTACACTAAGAATAGTCTAGGATCAATACCTATATTCCTTGTGCTTGGTGAGTTTGTGTATACCAATCATATATTTTTCCCTTTTGCTATTATTTGATTTTTTGCTTTTGTAATTATTTGAAATTTTATTTTAATTAGATACCATTGGTATATAATACAAATCAACACATGAACAAAAGTTGCCTTTTAGTATAGTTTCTTGCATGAATGTTCTCAAAACTATGTTTATGGTCTAAAGAAATGTTAGTTATTGATGATGCACAATCCGGCCGATCTTAGTTGTCAACGATCTTGCCTCTGAGCTGAGTGGCAGGGACCTGAAACAGAAGGAGAAGAGAAGCTCCGGGGAGAACCCGGCGTAAGGGCTCCGAAGCTCAAGTTAGAGTCTTTCAAAGGCAAGATAGACCAGATAGCGCAAAAGTTAGCATACCTCGTTCCTGGGGGGTAGGAGCCTTTTATAACCACCTCGCGCACTCACTTCCAGGCTTCCGTCAGATCGGGCATGATTACTTCT